TTGAAAGACGTTGCAGGACGGGACGTAGTCGTCCCCCGCGAAGCGCGTCGCATACGATAAAAGTCCTTCCAGGTCTCCGATGGTAGGTTCCTGGTCGATGTCGTCGATTCGTTTAAGTTCTTCTTCCATAATCTCGTACTCGACATTGCTTATAATTTTTCCCAAGATTTGCATGATGGTTGTTTCCATTTCCTTTTCTTCGATATGCGATGCAGCCATTTTGTTTCGTTCAGGTTCTTTTTTTTTGTCCGCGTAAGGTTAGGTCAGATTATATACTCAGATAAGTTGCAAATGTGCCGATTTCGGTATTTATTCCTGGGACGTCGACGATGATTTTAAATAAACATCGTTTATTAGTAGCCAGCGCATTATTATATTAATCGACCGGCATCAGCTGGATTTCGGGCCCGTTCATTTTTCCAAATGCCATTATTACGACTATTATTTGTATAGGTACCAACTCTTACTGTGGCGTGTTGAACTCCTTTTTGGTGAGGAGCAAAAATGTATACAAGGTACCCACCCTTCCACAGTTCCACCCACCCCCTCGATGTTTGTAACGGTATTTCCGACATAGCAAAAAAGTTAATATTAAAAATGTTTACAAAATTTTCCTACATTTGTAACGATTTGTATTGTCGGATATGATATTTCTACTATATACCTAGTCACCTAGGCGGCTAGGTATTTTGTGGCAGGAAGCACACCCACCAACCAACAATTTTTATGGAGCAATTGCTCCAAAATAATACCTTCGACACGTCGCTGCCTACAAATATTATATTATGTGTACCAAATACCAAATAATTAATTGTCTCTCCAGTATACTTATACTAACAAATTAAATGTTTGTAGGTTGAATGTGTAAAAAATATTGTAAAATTTACAACAGAAGATTTATTAGTACTAAACATCCGTCTTACTCAAGCGTTAAATGAAGTGGAAATATTGACAAATGCGTAAACTAAATTAACTTATAATTTTAAATGTTAACATTTTTACTTTAATCGAATTAAAATTTATAAATATTTTTTTTTATTTAGAATATTAAATGAAATGCTAAAAGAGCTAAGAAAGTATATTAGTTGTATATATGATTTGTGTGATGGTATTGCCGATTTAGACCTAATATTTTCATTCGCCCAATATAGTATGCGTTCTGGATTAACTAGACCAAAATTTGGACAATACATGGATATCAAAAGTTCTAGACATCCAATACTAGATATTATTAATTCGGTTGTAACAGTTGATAACGATATTGTAAGTTTTAACAAAAATTAAATAAATTACTGTACAAAATAAATAGAAGTTAAATAAGAGAAAGTTAATAATTAAACATTAAAATATTAGAATTTTTATATTATTTAAAATATACGAGTAAAGAACGTGTTTCAAAGTATTTAATCTTTATAGTGAAGGAAAAAACTAGGTTTGACGACCGACGTACGTCGTATTATTGATTATAAATAGTATTTATAATCAATAATCGTACATATCTTTAACTTTTAATGACAATTCATGTAATTCTAGATTTTATTTATGATTGTAGTTTGCTTCAACTGATAAAAATTTAAACATCATAACTGGACCTAATATGGGCGGGAAAAGCATTTATATACGTCAAGTGGCATTATTACAAATTATTGCTCAGGTAGGTTAAGACAAAAAATGATTTAAACTTAAAAGTAACCAGCCTATTTTAATAAACTTAAAATTCCAGATCGGATGTTTTGTACCTGCAACATTTGCTCAATTTCGTATATGCGATCGGTTGTTTACGAGAATTGGTTTTGGAGACAGCATAGAATCAAATGCGTCCACTTGGGTTTTAGAGGTAATTATTATATCTTTAATATTCATTGTATATTTTAACGTAAAATTAAACGAATTAATTTTGCATAACGATGGAAGGTTAGGAATAAGGGAATACAAATAAATAAGGGAACACTAACTGTAGTAACCGTATACGAGTCATACATACAATATATCCCAAAATTTTTGTATTTTGTGTCATTCAGTCATTGCATATTTATTTATATAGTCTGCAGGCACGGATCTAGAAGATTTTAACAAGGGGTGCTCAAAAAACAAAAATGGTTTCACCTTTCTATTTTAGATTACATAATTATTAATATAAATGTATTTTATTGGTGGTTTAGGCCCTTGACGCCAGGGGATTCTAGAGCACCAATAGCCCTCCCCCTCCCCGAATCCACGCCTGTAATTAGTTGTAACTTGTATTGTTTAACTAATTATTATTAATTAACTTGTACTTTCGTCTTTCACTTCCTTTACTCAATATAACTTTAGTATTTTTACTTAAATAACATAATATTTATAATTTATGTGTAAATAAATAAATAAATAAATAAATAAATAAATGTGTTTATGCTATGTGCATTGTATATATTTAATTGTAGAGTGTAGTCACAGTTGTCAGTGATATTTTGAATATCTTAATATCTAGTATCAGTGTTTATAATATTATATCTGTGGATAATGGCATATTTCATTATATGTCATAAATCAAACTATCTTAATATTAATTATTAATAGCCCAGTCAAATTAGACCAAAAATCGACAAAGCTCGGAACTAATTCTACGAAAGCTGGATTTTGATGTTTTTTTTAGTTTACACCTCACTTATAAACATACTAAAAGTCCTGACACCTACCCCTTGTGCGTAGCCCTCCACCCCTCTTCAAAGGGTGGCTCGCCTCTTTCACTGTTTTTGCTTATAACTCGTTAGCTTTACAAGCCACAATAAAAATACCTATGACCAAAATTAAAGACCATACAATTTTCCATAGACTAATCCTACATGTAATATATATAAAAATATGTTTCGGTAAGTGAAATATTTTTAAAAAATATAAAAAATAACATTTTTTAGCTTTTTTTTATTGTGTTTGAGCAAAAACCGTCAATCATACGCTAAAATAATGACCTATGACAAAAGTTAACAAACAGATAGTTATACATCATAATATGACGTTAAATTATTTTAACAATTTTAATATTATCGTAAGTAATAGTGTTTTTTATATCAGTAGTGACAATATAATTGAACAATTTTTTGAAAATTTCAAAATATAAAAATCAGAAATATAATTACAATATACTAAAAAAAAATTTGTCGAAAGCTGAATTTTCGTATATGAGAAATTTTTTTCTAATTTGACTGGACAATCAAAAGAAAATGTTTAGCCGTTTTGGTTATTATAGTGTCTTAGCCTAACGAATTTGTACGGTTGCATTATGTTATTTTATCTTGATACCTGATAATTTATTACATAGCTATTAAAAACAAATATAATATATATCTTTGCTTTGTTAAAATAATAATTTAAGGCAGACAATTATTTTCTGGTACCTACGTAGGAATAAATAAATAATAATAATAGTATTATTGATTATATTATGTATATTGTATATTCGTAATTCGTATAATGTACAACTATATTATACAACACTATATAAAATATAAATTATTTATGAGTACCTAATGACTTATGAGTAGGTACCAAAAACTCAATATTGTTCCTAGCCAAATTTTTCTACAAAAATATATTTAAATAAAGTTTTTGTGTAAATAATTTATGAACAGTGATTATTTTAACGGTTAATAATATTTTAATATTCATTAGTTTATTATAGTTAATACTTATTAGTTATTAGTTATTACTTATTACCATTCAGCATTTATAAATTATTTTTTAAATCCATAAATTAATTAAGGAAACATCAGTGATTATATTATTATGGGTTAATAATTTTGCTATTAAAAACTATAGTGGTAAATACTAAATTGTTTAGTTCAATATATGAGTATACGTAACTTTAAAGAAATAAATAAAATATTTAAATACAGTTCATAATTTTAATGTAATCTATTAGAGTAATATTGTTGTAATTGTTGTAATTATATTTTTGCTATCATGGTAAACATCAATTATTTTATAATTCCATTAAATGTAATCATTTATTATGGAATTGCGATTAGAATTGTAGACATATTTTCCAATAATATTTGATATTAAAACTTTATTTTTTAGATAAAAGAATTAAATTGCATACTTCCTTCACTGACAAAACATAGTTTAGTAATTATTGATGAATTATGTCGAGCTACTTCTTGCGAAGAAGGATCAACTTTAGCATGGGCAATTTGTGAACACATAATGCAATCCTGTGCTTTTATATTTTTTGCTACACACAGTACTTTGATAACAAAACTTCAAGATTTATACTGCAATGTATCAAAGTAACAAAACAGTTATACATTTTGATATTAATTAATTCAAATTGTTGACGAGTAGTTTCAAATGTAATCAGATTTGAATCCATATGTATTACGTAATGATAAAGATAAATTATCAATAATTGTCACAAGAAGAATAATAATTTATTTCATACTAATCATACTTTTTCCGTCTAGATTCGATGTTCCATATTTTGGTCCTCTGTTAAAAATGTTGACACTTACTTTGAGGATACGCTTTCCATTTCAATTCGTCAGTTAAAATCGAATATCTTTACCAACTACATTGGTTTCTTAATCGTCAATCTTTTATATTCTTTTTTTGAACACGACTAATGGTAACATCTCTTCGCGATGTTGAAGCTCACTCAGGGCTCACCCGGGAATTTGTAATTTGCACCAAATACCAAAATAAAAATAATATGTAATAATTTGCATGTAATTTGCATGTATTCCCTCACTTAGCCAGTTTTATACAATAATGTACAACTAACTATGAACAGTCACTGTTGGCTGTCAATGACTAGTTTGAGATGATGAATTTAATTGCTTACTAAAATACTGGAAGTTATCTATAGTTAATTTTGGTGTTATAATATTAGGTACCATTCGTACCAATAATCTGGATATTTGTTGAACAACCCACGCATTCTATACTTCTATATGCATCTATTGAAATAATAGAATTACTGTTTTGTATTTTTATATTATATAATATATTATTCTAGTTATCATATGGAGGCATTACCTGCGAGAGATTCTTCGAATGGATTGACTTATACTTATAAATTATGCCCGGGAGCAACGGATATTGATGACTATGGATTAACCTTGGCTAGAGATGTAAAAATGCCAGAACATTTAATTGAACATGCTGCAGAAATTGGAAAGTGTCTACGTCAAACAAGAACAGTAAGTTAAGCAGCTTTATTGCATTCAAATATTCAATACAATACAGAAATTTAGATTATTTATTCTATGTATCTCAAATATTTTCTATAGACCATTATAATATATTAAAATAAAATCATCTGTTAAATTCTAATAAATGGCACACTTTATAGGTTAATATTAAATTTATTCCAATGATACAAAATAGAATCTAAACTTCACCAAAAGAAATAAGATAGTCAAATTTAAATTTCAAACAAAAGTGATTTAGATATTTTAAATGTGTATTGAGTGTTCGATGTAATTTTATAACGTTACTACGATCAACGGTAAAAAGTCCGTGGTGAAAAAGTCCGGTACATATAATTAGGAAAAATACGGTGTGATGCACAATCAAACGTTCCAATTTTATTAGTATTAATAATATAAGTTGTATCTAAATATACTATATTTTATATGACGGTAGTTAGTTAAACTCAGAAATCTTTATAATATATTATGTATAATGTATATTTATGTACTTAATAACTTTTTTCAAAATATTATTTTTGGGAATTTGCTGACATGCGAGTATATTTCTTAAATTATTTACTACCTATAATCATATAATTTCAATAATTTTTGTCATAAGTTTAAGCAGCATCATTTTTTATTTATTTTTTTGTCCGATCTTCTGTAGTGTTACACTGCAGTATTACCGGACTTTTTTCCGTGATTCGTGTATAGTAGTCTTATTTATCACGGATTAATAATAAGTAATTAACGAGATATCGGATCCATGCAACATGAGATAAAAACAGAATATATTTCGATTGCAATAATATGCAGATAGGCAATATATTGTATATTTTAAATCGAATGTATTATTAATATTATTTAATATATTTGATAAAAATCAATTAACAAAACAAAATTTTGATTTTCTTAATAGACTAAGGGGGCAAGTGTATCTTTAGTTGAGTAATATACATGCAAGTTGAAGAGTCGTATTACTACGATTATGTTGATACAAATTATAATATGACCACTGACTGTAAGAACTCATTACATTTTACGAAATAATGTGGAGCAAAAAATAAAACGTGTGCACTTAACGACTGTTAAGACTGACTGTTCAGAAGTGAATGAGTAATTTAGGTGATCCCTGCACTAGTTCCCAAACAGTTATTCTTAGATAGTTAGATCCTTAGATACCAAAATTATACATTTTATATTAAATTATAACGTGTGAATACGTTATGTTTAGTACACAAAAATAGTAATCAAACAATTTTAGATTGTAATTGTATGGTTCTCACGTATAGGCGTTACCAGAAAATCCATCAAATGAAGCAGACCTAATTTTGGATACTTGTATTCAAAAGCTGTTAAGTATGAAAGATACAGAATGTCTCGATATATCCAACTTTCAGTTGGTAGTATCAGAAATGATGAATAATTTAAAAGAAAATAGAAGAAAAAATATTGACCCATGGATGGAATCTTTGGACTCCGATGAAGAAATGTATTCGCAAAGATTAAGTGATTATAACACAACATCGTCAACAAATAATTCTACATAATAAACAGAAATATATATATTTTTCAAATTTAAAGTAATATGGTTTAAAAATATCTTAATACAATTATACATTAAACTGTTAAAGTAGTAAGAAAACTGTTAAGTTCTAATTAAAAATAATATAAATATAATATATTTATATAATATAGAGTAGGTAATATTTTGTTGCATTGTTATTTCAAATAAACTTGATAGAAATTACTTATTAGGTAAATACTATCACTTACGACTTACTACCAAAAAAAAATAAATATGTTTGTATCATTTTAATGTATTTATTAAATTCATGTGGGGCCATGTGGAGAGTATAATCTCTTTGGGTAGGTATGGACAATGTGTAGGTGAATGATAAGTGATAATCACAAAGTCTTAATTTTCATCGCACATTCTCCATTGATCACATGTGTACTGTAACATCATAAAATTCAATTAATTTTAATATTATTTCTTTTTTATGCAACCTCAATTACATGCATCCACTCTAGTAGGTAACTACTAACTAGTATGCTCTTCAATCACACTTGTTTGTTTGGTTAAGGCACTTACGACGGTTGATAATAACTGAATTCATGAAGATGACGTATTCTTAGGATTTATTTATACTTCGTGAATCATGATCGTGAGGTATTTAAAATATTACGTTATAGTGCGTTATACCAAAAACTGAAGTATAGGTAGCTAAAATAATGTCAATATTATAATTTATAGCATAAAAAAAAATTGTTTGAATATATTCATAATAGTTTTATTTATTTTATTATAGCTAGCGTAATATAATAATTATAATCGCATGCGTGGTCTGTTTTTTTATACCTTCATAAATTCCATCAATATTGTTAACCACCCTCCTGTACAGCATATGAGTCCGTGACCCGTGTACGGTGTAGTGTGTACCTCGTCATTGAGTAGGCCACGCTGTAATGAATCTGTTAAATTCGAATTAAATGATAAATAATTGCATACGAAAAACGGTTTTGAATACCTACTTCAAAATAATCTAAATGTTTTGAAAATTGTGTAAATAGTAAAATACAATGATATACCATATAGATAAACATTTCAACCCTCCCCCCCACCGAAAATATTTTTTAGTTACAACAAAATAACTAACATTTTTAATCTTTGTTTAAATATTAAATGACGTCAACATTTGAAATTCAAATTTTTATATAAAATTTTTTTTTTATCATTATATATATTAGAATTTTGGGTTTAAGTAAGTACTACTAGGAGAAACCTCTTAACTAAAATTTAACTATTTTTAACTACAAAATAATTTTCAACTGTTAGTGATTAAGATGAATTTTGAAAACATTTGAACAAATGCTTATAAAAATAATGGTACCTATATTATGTATCTTTAATACTTTTAAATAGCTTATACATTTTTTTAAATTTTAGTATTAAAAACTTAACTTTTACTACATTTTTGACTGAGCAAACATTTTTTTATCAATGAATTATATCAAACATTTTGGAGTAAATAACAAAAATTATCAAAATTTTCAAATGTCTATAATAAATAATAATAACTCAAAATGAGTCAAAATATTTTTAAAATGATATCATGTATAGAAAATGCTAATTTATAAATATTTGGCTAAAATTTGAAGTATTTACGATTATTCGGTTTTGAAATACAACATAATGAGGAAATAATTTATGTTAAAATTGATTTTACATAAAAATTCCTGTTTTTCCCAATTAAAGAAAAGTTAATTTACAGTGTAATTTACTAGTTTACTAATTTGACACTGTGCATTTTTTACTTTTGACCTATTATTATAAAATCAATAGTGAATACAAGTAATTTGTGTTAGTTCCAACTTCCAATATATTAATCATTCTTCAATATTTGATTGATTTATAGAAATATACTTATATACAATATAATGTAGTATGTAAAATATTAATTTTGTAACCATATCATATTTCAATATTTGAACTATTTAAGCTGTACTTGAGTGTGCTCATATATTATAATTTATAAGCCAGGTTTCCATTACACCATTTCGTGTTGTGTTTTGTATATCTGTTGGCAGCAATAATGTAAATTCAGATATTGTCAACAATCTTTAGGCAATACCATTAGAGACTATAGACAATTTAGGAAATAATGGTGATCCGTAATAATTTATATCATTGACTTGATAAAATATTAGGCAGTGTTCTAAGTGTATATGTATTCACTATAGGCATTGTCGATATTACAATATATTATATTACATATTACATATTACGATAACGAAAATGATCACGTCCAACCTAAAATGATCCGTCTTCATCATCCAAATTATTATTTTATTTTATACATAGGTATATATAGTCAGTGACTTATTTAGGGTGTGGGGTGGCTGACGGGAGGCAATTGCCCCGGGCGTCAAATTCTGAGTTCCTCAAAAGGGCAACGCAGCTAGAGGTTAAATTGTTTTCAAAGTGAAGTTATAGGTAACAAAAAAAAAATGATTTTTTTATTTTATTGGACGTGTTGAGTAATTATATTAGTGATAACAGCTGTATCTTTTATTAGTATATCTTTTACATTTCTACACACACATACATATAATATATTATGTTTTCATATTATGTACAATTTTAATTTAGAAAAAAAAGTCTAAAATCTGAAATTATAATTTGTCTTATTTAATTATAAAGATTGACTTTTTTATTAGAAATAAATAGAGTGGTAATGGTAAAATACAAGTGTTCTCTAAACTAGTGGAAGCATTTTAAGTACCTACAATAAGAGGAAAAATATATATTTTGGGGTATCACATTTAACGGAGGGAAAAAGTAAATTTTCTAATTTGAAGGGACTTTAAAGTTTTTTATGACAATGAGTAAAAGGAAATTGAGAAAAAAAGGGGTGCCAAAATGGCAAAATGTGTGAACCAATATCGTAAATACGCCTCTGGGTATAGCATTATTATTATATACCTATATATTAAAATTCGTTTGTGTTATAGGTATAACATTATTATTGCTAGGTATAGTAAAATTTAAATGATATATTATTTTGTCAAATATGTCTATTTTTATTGAAATTAGAAAACAAACATGTATAATAACTACTGGTTTCACACTTTTGTATTTTAACTAATTTATAATAATTGTATTTGCTAGAACAATAAATTACATTTGTAGACATTCATGATAATGACAAGGTAATATAATATTATAAATATATTTTCATCACTGCTTGAGACAGTTAAACATTATTTAAAATGGCTAGAAAATTTCGTTATTAATTTACCAAATTTCAATCCATAGTCAACATCATCCAATTCATCACAGCTGCCAATCTTCAAACCAAAATTTAGAATAATTTAGATTTAGACGATTTAGTTCACAATTTATGTAATTTGTAATTTCCTTCCTATAAGCCCAATTAGTCAATGTAATAATTATTGACTAGTAATTCACTAAAATGACTAAACATAAACATTGCCACTAACAAACTAACTGACATATTACTATTTCCTATTGATTATAATTTATAATGTATAGATAGTTTAATAATAATATGTATAAACAATGCTATTACGTAGGTGGTAGGTACTAGGTGGCAGGTAACAGATTGTTGGTAACACATTAGTACATTACCTTCAGGCTTCAAGACTTAGTTTACTATATATTCAACTCTACAAAAGCGCACTATATAGTGGAAACCCAGCTTTAGTTTAGTTATTTTAATTTAAATAAATTTGGATACCTATATAAGTTTTTTACGCAATTGTCATGAATTACGAATATAAAGTTAACCTAACCTACTTGTTTCTATAGATCCTCGATATCAGTGGCGCCGAAGTTTTTAAAATGTGGTCCGGCAATTTTAAAACTTCCCGGCCTCAATATCTTAATTATTTAATATAGAGGTACCCTAATATAAATTTATTCATAATCACGGTTTAAATTTACTCATGCTTATAATAAAGTTATGATGTAAATTAAATATGGCCGGCCGGCCACATTTTTCAAAAAACGTCAGCATGGACTTCGGCGCCACTGCTCGATATATAATTTGAATAACAACGAAAATATTGTTATATAATATTATATCACCATTTAATATTTTAATATCATTCAAATGGCACTAAGCTCGGTAGGTACCTATTATAATTTTTGAAATGCCTAAATTGCATGAGAAGTTATTTTTCGATTGGTTATTTGGTTATTGTGTAGCCATATTGTAACTTTCTGTCGTTGACATTTCAATCGCTTTTTTCTAATTTTAATAAAGTTAAATGTATTATATAATTTTGACAGTTTGACCCAGTAATTAATTATATAACTTTTTTTATAAGTGTATCTAATCAAACGCGGGATTTGGCAGCCTTCATTCATGATGTGCATAATTTCAATATGTCATCATATTGAGTGTTTGTGTGATATTACCTACTAATAAATTACTGAATGATGTACAATATATTACATATTACTATATTAGTTAAGTTCTAATTATTTATTCATTGCAACAATGTTTTCTAATAATCCTTTTTTAAAATATAAAACCACAACTTTTTCATACTTGCTTGCATAGCTAGTGAGTCTATAACTCTGCCATATACCTAGTTAATACTAAACTACCCTTCTGAAATTAAATTAAGATAAGTTAAAATTCTCAGAAAATGTTCATGCTTTGGGCTTTTGGAGTATGAAAATTGAAATTAAAAACGTTTACTGCCATTTAAAAAAGTAAAAATATAATTTTGTCATCTTTTGTCGACTTTAAATGTATCCAAAATTAATATTTCCAAAAACGATAATACTTTTCAAGAAAAGGGTGTTTACATATTTTAAAAGATTTACCCTTTATAACACATAATTATTAAAGCACGTCTGTAGTATTGTGTAATACAAATTACAATTAATACGATAGGTACCTACTATATAATAATATATAAACTTGCACTAGCCGCAATAAAATTATACCTATACCGTTAGGCGTTGTTATTATACAACAATATTACATATTATTATCATTATTATTATGCCTTCACA